TAAAATGTTAGGAGACAAACGAGCAGAATCAGGGGTAATCGTATGAGGTGTGACCTACCTATGGTCTGTGACCTACCACAGCACATTGGAAATTAACTGTGACTTACACAGTTTGCATGATATAAAATACACCCTTTTTAACACGATTTTATTTTCCAAAGCTACTTAGGCCTGCAAATTTCGTCATTTGACTATCGTCAGGTTTCACATTAGATTAATCAGTGAACATAGACTTGACGTCCCTAATGAATGCCTCGAACCTGTTGTTCGTGGGGTTGAGACCACGCCACCAAGCCTCAATGAGGTACCTTAGCAGAAGCTCGAGCATCGTCCCATGCATTTTTTTAGTTTGACCTTGCAAAATGCCTGTTCACAGAGTCAATTAACCGCGCTCTCCTTACTACTGATTATTGAGTAAAAATCTCGGCATCGCATCGCGGCATCTACTGCTGCTGATAGAGCAACATGCCTCTATCTACCCCAATACGCATGCTGTGGCGGATCCAAGGGGAGGGGGAGCGACTGCCCCCCCCCCCCCCTATGTCCAGGTTTGCTTTCTATTTTTTTTAGTTTAAAAGGCACCTACATTAATCTTTATAGGGGCCAGTGAAGTAGATATCCAAGTTTTTACCCAAGACGAAAAATGAAAATGGCGGTAGAATGGAGAGTGGTGGTAGGTTGGGGGGAGGTGGGTTGTTAGAAGTAGGGAATCCCCCTCCCCCTATGAAAAATTTCTGTATCCACCATTGTATGCATGTGACCCCATCCATGCTTCCCATTCAGTGACACTGACAGGCATATAGGCATATTGGGGGCATATTTGGGGAGAGGGGGGGAGGTTGAGTCTGGGTTGACCGTTGACCCCCCTCCCCCCCAAAATAAACCTCCCAATATGCCTATCAGGTCATCATGCAGTGTTGTCGTTACAGTAAAGTGTAAGACATCACCCCACATGGTAGGTCACAGGCCATACGGTAGGTCACACCTCATACGATTACCAGAATCAGGAATGATAAGGGAGAATGTACAAGACGGCTGACATCCTGGTCTGCCAAGCGATCACGCTGACATCTGGCGAGCAGCTGGAACTCTAGTGATTCTGAGCAGCAGAGTTGGATGACCAATGTGTCTATGGAATTTGGCCTTACGTCCGTACGGCAGCTGTACCAGCCATTGGTTCTCAAAAGACCCAATTGTCTAAACGCGTGCGAGGAAGCAATAGAAATGAGCGTTAGACAGATGGCTTCAGTAAAGGCGAAAGGGGGAGGTGAATGGCCTGATTTACCTCGCACAAGCCACCTCTCCCTTGAGCCTCTTTTGTCTTCCCACCCCTCAGGCATGTCGCTCGCAGGACCTGGGTTTAGCCCTGGGGGGACTCAAATGTCCGTCATCCTTCGTCAACGGAACTCTCTCCTCTGTGCGGTCGAAGGGGAGTAGCTTAGTAAAATACTCCTACCTCTACTTCAGTGACTTTTTAGTGCAACGTCAGAGTCAGATATTTTCATATCATGATACATGTTCGTGGCTGACCACGGTTGACCTGTGCATTACCAATGTGTCCGGCGTGTTCTTGAAAAAACTTCCTCCTCGACAACTCGCAAAAACGTTTGATTTCTTGAACCAGTAGCATTATAATCTCTGCACGTATGTACAGGGTGGCCCAGATTAATATATACATTTTTTAACAAGGCCGTATGCCTTAAGTATTTTAATACCTGCATGTAACTATGGTGGAATACATTGTCAAAGGATCGAAGAAGTGAGTCACACTCTGTTTTCCATGGAGTGGTCCACCATGCGGCCCTCCATGGCGATGCAAGCTTCCAGTCGCAACTTCACGTTGTCACAGGCCTTTTTGCACATGTCTAGGGGAATTTTGCGGAATTCCTCCG